TCTCTGCCCGTTAATGACGTACAGTACCATCACACTTCTAGTTGTACGTGTACAATGTAGCCGTACAACTAGAAGTGTGATGGTACTGTAAGTCATTAACGGGCAGAGACACACAAAAAACACGTGTACAATATAGCCGTACAACTAGAAGTGTGATGGTACTGTACGTCATTAACGGGCAGAGACACACAGAAAACACGTGTACAATATAGCCACACAACTAGAAGTGTGACGGTACTGTACGTCATTAACGGGCAGAGACACACAAAACACGTGTACAATATAGCCGTACAACTAGAAGTGTGATGGTACATGGTACTGTACGTCATTAACGGGCAGAGAAACACAAAACACGTGTACAATATAGCCGTACAACTAAATAATAACATAATAATAATAATGAAATAGAGGCATGAAGCTCAATGTTCATATGATCAAGATGCAATGTTTAATAAATTGTACAAAAAGTTACAGCTTTTAGAAATATACATTTATAAAATACAGGATAATTTCTGATATGACTTGGTAAAAGAATCCCTGTAAGGGCTCCCTGATATATAAATGATTTTCTAAAAATGTTTGTCTTATGACATGGCAAGTAAAACACATTGGTAGATGATGATCTTGTAGCTCTACCCTGAAGATCAGACACATACGTAAAATCACTCAAATTTTGTGGAGCTAAATTGTTAAGTGTCTTGTACATTAGAACTACTTGATTGTATAAAAAAATGTTGAAAGGTAACCAATTTAGTTTGTATAACATATCACAGGAAGGTTTAGAAAAAATCACAAAATGATTCTGGCTGCTCTCTTTTGCAGGCGTTCTAATTTTGCAATATGGTTTTTTGAACTGTTACCCCAAACAGTGGAGCAATAATATAGATGTGGGTTACAAAGCAATTAAAAAAAGTCATACGAGATGACTGGCTCAAGAAGGGTCTCAACTTTATCATCTGAAAAAAATGACATGATATCTTTTTACAGACATTTGTAAATTGAATGTTCTAAGAGAGACATTCATCTATTGACACTCTCAAGAGTTATTTTTATATTTTGCATTTTCTTTGTGAAATAGTAACAAGCATGACTTTTGTTTTTTCTGTGCCTACACAAACTTTGTTTTCATCACACCATTTTGACAATAATTTTGCTTCAGCAGTTTAAAATTTGAAATATCCTGCTCAAATAACTTATAAAAAATACCATTGATATGAATGCACACCCATGCAACTTGGTTGGAGTCAGTTCCAACAAACGTACTTGAGGGAAAATTCAGAGAATCGGGTACATACCGTTCCTGTTGTTATTCTGGCCGACAGTCATTTCATACCTCGCCTTATACAAGTCATTGGGGTAACAACATCCAATCACGTTAACCGTCACATAAACCACCGGCAAATATTGACCACCATTGCTCTATATCAAATCTCCCTTAACGTCACATAAACTCAGGCTAACATTGAACAATACTCTACATCAAATCGCCCTAAACGTCACATAGACCCCCGGCTAACACCCTTACCGTCACATAAACCTCCGGCTAACATTGAACAATACTCTACATCAAATCGCCCTAAACGTCACATAGACCCCCGGCTAACACCCTTACCGTCACATAGACCCACGGCTATCACCCTAACCGTCACATAGACCCCCGGCTAATATTGACCATTGCTCTATATCAAATCACCCTTACCGTCACAAAAACTCCGGCTAACATTGAACAATACTCTACATCAAATCACCCTAACCGTCACATAGACCCCCAGCTAACACCCTAACTGTCACATAGGCCCCCGGCTATCACCCTAACCGTCACATAGACCCCCGGCTATCACCCTAACCGTCACATAGACCCCCGGCTAACACACTAACCGTCAAATAGACCCCCGGCTAACCCCGGCTAACACCCTCACCGTCACATAGACCCCCGGCTATCACCATAACCGTCACATATACCCTCGGCTAACACCCTAACCGTCACATAGACCCCCGGCTAACACCCTACACTAACTGTCACATAGACCCCCGACTAACACACTAACCGTCAAATAGACCCCCGGCTAACCCCGGCGAACACCCTAACCGTTACATAGACCCCCGGCTATCACCCTCACCGTTACATAGACCCCCGGCTAACACCCTCACCGTTACATAGACCCCCGGCTAACACCCTAACCGTTACATAGACCCCCGACTAACGTTTATCAACACTCTACAAGTACTGTTTCTAACTACATGCCTGTGTCTATGGGGAGAGATACCACTATCTCAATGGGTTTGTGTATTGTCCGAATTCCAGTAAACACTGATAACACTGCGAAACTGTACCGCAATTGAGGTGATGCATGATAGAAGTTGTTACCAAGCGTGGTCACGTCTTAACAATTGTCGCAGGGATGGTGGACCATAGCTCTGCAGTTGTCAAAGATTATATATACTGGCTAGTGACTTACAGTTGTCAAAGATTATATACAATGGCTAGTGACTTACAGTTGTCAAAGGTTATATACACTGGCTAGTGACTTACAGTTGTCAAAGATTATATACTCTGGCTTGTGACTTACAGTTGTCAAAGATTATATACACTGGCTTTTGACTTACAGTTGTCAAAGATTATATAAACTGGCTTGTGACTTACAGTTGTCAAAGATTATATATACTGGATAGGGACTTACAGTTGTCAAAGATTATATAAACTGGCTTGTGACTTACAGTTGTCAAAGATTATATATACTGGATAGGGACTTATAGTTGTCAAAGATTATATACACTGGCTTGTTACTTACAGTTGTCAAAGATTATATACATTGGCTAGTGACTTACAGTTTTCAAAGATTATATATACTGGATAATGACTTACAGTTGTCAAAGATTATATAAACTGGCTTGTGACTTACAGTTGTCAAAGATTATATAAACTGGCTTGTGACTTACAGTTGTCAAAGATTATATACATTGGCTAGTGACTTACAGTTTTCAAAGATTATATATACTGGATAGGGACTTACAGTTGTCAAAGATTATATATACTGGATAGTGACTTATAGTTGTCAAAGATTATATACACTGGTTAGTGAATTACAGTTGTCAAAGATTATATACACTGGCTTGTGACTTACAGTTGTCAAAGATTATATACATTGGCTAGTGACTTACAGTTTTCAAAGATTATATATACTGGATAGTGACTTATAGTTGTCAAAGATTATATAAACTGGCTTGTGACTTACAGTTGTCAAAGATTATATACATTGGCTAGTGACTTACAGTTTTCAAAGATTATATATACTGGATAGTGACTTATAGGTGTCAAAGATTATATACACTGGTTAGTGAATTACAGTTGTCAAAGATTATATACACTGGCTTGGGAGGTACAGTTGTCAAAGATTATATACACTGGCTAGAGACTTACAGTTGTCAAAGATTATATGCACTGGCTAGTGACTTACAGTTGTCAAAGATTACATATACTGGCTAGAGACTTACAGTTGTCAAAGATTATATACACTGGCTAGTGACTTACAGTTGTCAAAGATTATATACACTAGCTTGCGACTTACAGTTGTCAAAGATTATATACACTGGCTAGTGACTTACAGTTGTCAAAGATTACATATACTGGCTAGTGACTTACAGTTGTCAAAGATTATGTACACTGGCTAGTGACTTACAGTTGTCAAAGATTATATACACTGGCTAGTGGCTTACAGTTCTAATGATGCATGTCGAGAAAAGAAGGACATAATGTTGGCGCACGTTTGATCGCTGCAATAGTTATATCTGACTCATCCCTGATCTGGTATATATAGGAAACTGTGGGTGTCTGTGTTCGACAAACTATCTGGTCTTGCTCTATATTGTGCGTACTGTTACCACACAGGATACAGGCGTATTCAACAATATATTTGCTCTACTATGAAAGGCGAATGGCTGTATACGCAAATGATTGTAGGCAAGTTTGGAGCATATTTCGTAAAATACAGAATCTAACACAATGGTCGAGATAAATATACTGAGCACGATCGTGAGATCCTGGTTAACGCTGCCTTTGTTGAGTGTGGCGCCACCCCTGCCCAGTAGATTGTTGGCCCCAACCCTGTCCAGTATAATGTTGGCGCCAACTCTGCCCAGTAGAATGTGGGCGCCAACCCTGTCGAGTAGAATGTTGGCGACAACCCTGTCCAGTATAATGTTGGCGCCAACCCTGCCCAGTAGAATGTTGGCGCCAACCCTGCCCAGTAGAATGCTGGTGCCAACCCTGCCCAGTAGATTGTTGGCGTTCCCTTAGGAACACACTGGGATCATTTTCCTGGCCGACGTTTTTTTTTATAACAGGCTGAAATTATTAAAGAAATTACCATAACCCAAACGAAGAACACAAAGCACTCATCAATTCGAGTCCGTTATCAGATGTCAGCAATGTGTTGTTTCTAAAATAACAAGAAAGTTATTGACCTCATAGATCGTATATACCCGCCTGAACGTGAAATCAAGACACTACTTCAGCCTCTTATTTTCGATCCCTACTTACAATCGGGATGACTTACTACGCAACTGTCAATAAGCGAGAAGCGTTCAACTTTCCTATCGTTATAATACCCTTCCTGGATATCAACTTGTCTACTTCTCCATACAAAGGTGTGTAACGGTCGCAGTTGTCTCAATAGTCAACGATTTGATCCGAACATCTAGACTTCCGTAACAGGTGTCGACTGCTGACGGCCAAACGTACAGCACAAAGTATCGAGACAAAGGCTATTAGTAAGTGGTGCGGTCGATATCCTAACCTCATCGAGAAATGTTCTATTTCTTCGTGCGGTATGAAGCCAATGATTATTTATATGCTGATTATGAGTGTACCTTTTTTTTTTACCCTATACACATCTAAACATTATACCAAACTGAGGGAATGCCTCCGTATTCAGTTTGAGAGGTACAAACATAAACACACTTACAGTAGTAGATTTGTGTTTTTGAAGTGAACTTGTCGTCAAACGCCAAAGATTCACACAGACATAGAGTATACAGTCGATAGCTGCCGTTGCCGTAGCTGGGTTTATGGATATTAACAGAAATAATAAAATCAAGGTTAACTGACTGGCGCGAAACGTCTACATATACATGAACTTGTTTGTGTACTTTTGAGAGGACACAGATTCGCCACTTCCTGTCATTGAAGCCTGCATTGGGTACATACAAACTTGTGTATGTGGTAAACTGGCCACATTTATACACGTGCAGCGTCTGTCGCCTCACACTCCAGGTCCGCTGTCGTGTATACGGAGTGGTACGTCCTGTGTCAGTGACACTGGTCGACCAGTGTATTAACGCTTTACTTCAAAAGAGGATGACCAGCATGGAGAATTCAACGATAGCCTTGACTACAGGCACGTTACCATTGGAAGCAGACATATCATCAGCAAACATGATGCCGTTCGGAATAAACATCACGACGGTAATACCTGAGGTTTCCGACTCCTACTCTGCATGCTCTTCAGCTGACTCTTGTTTGTGGGCGATAATTTCACCTTTTATTTTTTTCATTGGGGTATTCGGAAACATTTTGAATTTGTATGTTCTGATACGTTTGAAGTTTTACAAGAACGCTACACTTTCCCTGCTGTTTGTGCTGGCCTTTGTCGATATCACTGTGCTGTGTGTCGGTCCGACCCGCTACTGGATTCGAGCCACATTCGATGTTGACATACGAGACGTTTCTGGATTCAGTTGCAAGTTCCATCTATTCTTGATTTATTTCTCCATGCATATGTCGTCATGGATTTTAGTCCAAGTTACATGCGTCAGGTTTGTGAAAACCGTTCTGTTGGACAATCGATTTATTGCCGTACAGAAGCTGGTGACAATAAACAACAGTTTAATTATACTCGGAATCCTCGGCGTCGTTCTAGCGGCTCTGGACTTCCACTACTTCTTCACCAATGGAATCAAGGACGGAGGCTGTGACTCGCTAACAAAGGAGATCCTAGCGTTCGAGGAGTTTATATTTACTTACATAGACTTGGTGGTGCTAGTGATCCTACCAGGGATTATCATGACTGTCCTCAATCTGTTAATTATACGACAGATTAAAAAACTCAAATGTAACAAACGACTCTCCACTGGATCTGATGGAAGCAACAGAATGTCGCGGAAGGGACAGCAGCCTGCCTCCAAGATGACGAGGATGCTGGTGTTTACTAGTTTCTACTTCGTTGCTGCCAGTCTGCCGATCTGTATTTACTTTATAGTAGATTCGTACGTTCGGCCATGTGCCAGTCCTGACGTCGAGCAGTCTCTGGATCTGGCCAACGCCATCGTATATCTGCTCCAGTTCACACACTTCGCCATCAACTTTTATTTCTATACGGCCACTAATCAACGGTTTAGGACCGAGCTGGGAAAGATCGGGAAAGGAGTGGAAAGAATGTAAGTTCACACCTCCTGGCTACTGGCTATATAATACAAGTTCTATGTTGATTATTTTAACCTTTATTTTATTGACTAATAGCATTAGTGCCAGAAAGTTATTTAGAGGTATTTTCGAAAGATTTTGTAGTTTAAACGCCCTGTCTCTGTTATTTATTTACAGCAAGGAGCTTACTGCCCGATGACAGCACCATGCATTATATATTACATTTTAAATCTTATAACGCCGTATAAAGCTAATGCACGTATACAGTATAATATATACATAGACATGATACATTGACTAAAATCCAATTTTATGAGTGAAAGTATTATAATCAAACAATGACCACATATAGCATATGTTCTCTCTGGGGGAATGGGTTTAACTGTCTCGAGTGGGCGTCGTCTGTGTCTGTGTCTTATTCTTCAAGTAATCTCAAATAAAAAGTTATCAGTAAATAAATCAAACTACTATTTTTACACATGTCAAAGATGCATACTGTAACAGTTCTCAATAAGTTTACACAGGTCACATATCTAAACCCGTTATACATATAGATACAGGTCACATATCTATACCCGTTATACATATACATACAGGTCACATATCTATACCCGTTATACATATACATACAGGTCACATATCTATACCCGTTATACATATACATACAGGTCACATATCTATACCCGTTATACATATACATACAGGTCACATATCTATACCCGTTATACATATACATACAGGTCACATATCTATACCCGTTATACATATACATACAGGTCACATATCTATACCCGTTATACATATACATACAGGTCACATATCTATACCCGTTATACATATACATACAGGTCACATATCTATACCCGTTATACATATACATACAGGTCACATATCTATACCCGTTATACATATACATACAGGTCACATATCTATACCCGTTATACATATACATACAGGTCACATATCTATACCCGTTATACATATACATACAGGTCACATATCTATACCCGTTATACATATACATACAGGTCACATATCTATACCCGTTATACATATACATACAGGTCACATATCTATACCCGTTATACATATACATACAGGTCACATATCTATACCCGTTATACATATACATACAGGTCACATATCTATACCCGTTATACATATACATACAGGTCACATATCTATACCCGTTATACATATACATACAGGTCACATATCTATACCCGTTATACATATACATACAGGTCACATATCTATACCCGTTATACATATACATACAGGTCACATATCTATACCCGTTATACATATACATACAGGTCACATATCTATACCCGTTATACATATACATACAGGTCACATATCTATACCCGTTATACATATACATACAGGTCACATATCTATACCCGTTATACATATACATACAGGTCACATATCTATACCCGTTATACATATACATACAGGTCACATATCTATACCCGTTATACATATACATACAGGTCACATATCTATACCCGTTATACATATACATACAGGTCACATATCTATACCCGTTATACATATACATACAGGTCACATATCTATACCCGTTATACATATACATACAGGTCACATATCTATACCCGTTATACATATACACACAGGTCACATATCCATACCCGTTATACATATACACAGAGGTCACATATCTATACCCGTTTCACATATCTATACCGGTTATACATATACACAGAGGTCACATATCTATACCCGTTTCACATATCTATACCGGTTATACATATACACACAGGTCACATATCTATACCCGTTATACATATACACACATGTCTCATATCTATACCCGTTATTTATATACATACAGGTCACATATCTATACCCGTTATGCATATCTATACCCGTTATACATATCTATACCCGTTATACATATCTATACCCGTTTCACATATCTATACCGGTTATACATATACACACAGGTCACATATCCATAACCGTTATACATATACATACAGGTCACATATCTAAACCCGTTATACATATAGATACAGGTCACATATCCATACCCGTTTTACATATACATACAGGTCACATATCCATACCCGTTTTACACATACATACAGGTCACATATCTAAACCCGTTATACATATACATACAGGTCACATATATATCCGTTATACATATAATTACGGGTCACATATCTATACCCGTTATACATCTACATACAGGTCACATATCTATACCCGTTATACATATACACACAGGTCACATATCTACACCCGTTATACATCTACATACAGGTCACATATCTATACCCGTTATACATATACATACAGGTCACAGATTCATACTCGTTATATATAAGTTGATACAGATCACAAATTCAAAACCGTTATACGTCAGTTTATATATGTCACAGATTCATACCCGTTATAAATCAGTTTATTCAAGTCACAGATATCTACCCGTTATAAATAAGTTTATATAGATTACCGATACATACCCGTTGTATATAATTGTATACAGGTTACCAATATACAGCCGTTATACATACGTTTATACAGGTCACAGATACATACCCGGTATACATACGTTTATACAGGTCACCGATACACAGCCGTTACACATACGTTTATACAGGGCACAGATACACAGCCGATATACATACGTTTATAATGGTCAGATTCATATCCGTTATATATAAAAGTATATAAGTCATAGATACACAGCCGTTATGCATACGTGTATACAGGTCACAGATACCCAGCCGTCATACATACGTTTATAATGGTCAGATTCATATCCGTTATATAGAAAATTATATAAGTCATAGATACATACCCAATATACACATAGTTTATACAAGTCACAGATATATACCCATTATACATAAGTTTAGTATACAGGTCACAGATACACAGCCGTTAAACATACGTTTATACAGGTCACAGATAAACAGCCGTTATACATACGTTTATACAGGGCACAGATACACAGCCGATATACATACGTTTATAATGGTCAGATTCATATCCGTTATATAGAAAATTATATAAGTCATAGATACATACCCAATATACACATAGTTTATACAAGTCACAGATATATACCCATTATACATAAGTTTATATAGGCCACAGATTCATACCCGTTATAAATAAGTTTATATAGGACACAGATTCATACCCGTTATAAATAAGTTTATATAGATAACCGATACATACCCGTTGTATATAATTGTACACAGGTTACCAATATACAGCCGTTATACATACGCTTAGACAGGTCACAGATACATACCCGTTATACATACGTTTCTACAGGTCACAGATACACAGCCGTTATGAATACGTGTATACAGGTCACAGATACATACCCGGTATACATACGTTTATACAGGTCACCGATACACAGCCGTTACACATACGTTTATACAGGGCACAGATACACAGCCGATATACATACGTTTATAATGGTCAGATTCATATCCGTTATATAAAAAATTATATAAGTCATAGATACATACCCAATATACACATAGTTTATACAAGTCACAGATATATACCCATTATACATAAGTTTATATAGGCCACAGATTCATACCCGTTATAAATAAGTTTATATAGGACACAGATTCATACCCGTTATAAATAAGTTTATATAGATAACCGATACATACCCGTTGTATATAATTGTACACAGGTTACCAATATACAGCCGTTATACATACGCTTAGACAGGTCACAGATACATACCCGTTATACATACGTTTCTACAGGTCACAGATACACAGCCGTTATGAATACGTGTATACAGGTCACAGATACATACCCGGTATACATACGTTTATACAGGTCACAAATACACAGCCGTTATACATACGTGTATGCAGGTCACAGATACACAGCCGTTATATATACGTTTATACAGGTCATAGATACACAGCCGTTATACATATATTTATACAGGTCACAGATACACAGCAGTTATACATACGTTTATACATGTCACCGATACACAGCCGTTACACATACGTTTATACAGGTCTCAGATACACAGCCGTTATACATACGTTTATAATGGTCAGATTCATATCCGTTATATATAAAATTATATAAGTCATAGATACACAGCCGTTATACATACATTTATACAGGTCACAGATACACAGCCGTTATACATACGTTTATAATGGTCAGATTCATATCCGTTATATAAAAAATTATATAAGTCATAGATACATACCCAATATACACATAGTTTATACAAGTCACAGATATATACCCATTATACATAAGTTTATATAGGCCACAGATTCATACCCGTTATAAATAAGTTTATATAGGTCACAGATTCATACCCGTTATAAATAAGTTTATATAGGTCACAGATTCATACCCGTTATAATTATGTAAGTTTATATAGATCACATTTCTTATTCATGCTATAACATTGATGGTATCAAACTTGTTTATATTGTATTTAAGTGATATTTGGATCATCAGGTTTCGGTAGAAATCATTCCATTACGTTTTGTTACTGTTTGACGATTTCAGATTCCACTCTGTCCCTTCCTCTGACCCGTCTACCAGTACCGACTATCATCTCCGATCAGGTACCGGGGACACGTGATGACGTCATCACACCATCACGGCCGAGACCACAGCTTATAGACCGTCACTATGGGTGACTCGTTTGAACCCATCTCTACGGAACTTCTAAGGAGATAATTATGTGATATGGGTCACTTTCAAAAGACATAGGATTGAGGGTCTTCATCACTATGACGACGCGTGCACAATTAACCACGTATTTTCGACACGATATGTGTGTCGAGACTGGAGGTCAAGTGACATCATTCTCATTTGCGTGTTAACTTTAAGACTGGTGACCCATCTATAGCTAGAAATGTTTTGCCAAATTAAGCGGAGTATCGAAACACACTTTACGAAGGACACATCAGTAAATTGTGTAAAGTGGGACACCAAACATGTGGGCGCTAACAGCAAAATAATCTACAGAACAGCGACTTCTTGTATCAAAAATTGCTATTCATTGAGAAACATTTAGAAAAGTGATTGTGATCAAACTTGTCCAACACATTATTGTACTGATAGGTGGTAGCCAAGTAACTGTTTTCGGATTAGCTAGCATACCGTAAACTCACGGTTAACTGACCTTAAGAAACCTTGAGGAGATCGGTAAGATTCCCCAGGAGGTGGTAAGATTCCCTAGGAGGTGGTTCAGGATATTTAAAGATGACGTTGTTGTTTTAATGTATTTAACTGAAGTTAGTCAATGCGATTTAGGCGTAATTTTGGACGATTCTGACTACAGCTGTTGTCTTGAGGATTGTAACATTTGAGACTGATCAAGGCCCTACAACTAATTGTCAATATAAAACAGACAATTGAATCACGGTAGTGAGTAATGCAACGTGAAATAAAATTACCGGTTTAAAATCGTAAAATGTTCAGCCCACCAAATAGAGGCGTACTGCAGTAAGCGCCTGAGTGATATGTACAGTAAGTATGGAATGCTATAGTATATACCAGGAGCTTCAAATCATAAACTCATCCGTAGCCAAAATAAATACCTTCATATTTTATATAATTACTTAGTCAGGAGAATTTTGTTTATGACACCAAAGTTTTGTTGCTCTATTTTTTCTATAAAATAATGCATGTGTTACGGTACAAAAGCCTAAGGTATTTCTAAATGCAGGCTTACGTTTCCCTCTAGAAGATTATCTGACTACTATTTTAGCTGTAAAGAATCTTTACTGGGATTCCTAATCCCTTAACTTACTTGTTCAAAAATGATAAAAGAGGAGTTGAAATAAACCTAATGTGGTTAAAGCATGCAGTAACGTTTAGTACTCCTGGAATATAAAATCATTGCCCATCGACAAAAAACAAACGTAGAGGAGGGGCGACGGGGCCATTCACATACAAAACTAACAACAGACGTAGAGGAGGGGCGACGGGGCCATTCACATACAAAACTAACAACAGACGTAGAGGAGGGGCGACGGGGCCATTCACATACAAAACTAACAACAGACGTAGAGGAGGGGCGACGGGGCCATTCACATACAAAACTAACAACAGACGTAGAGGAGGGGCGACGGGGCCATTCACATACAAAACTAACAACAGACGTAGAGGAGGAGCGACGGGGCCATTCACATACAAAACTAACAACAGACGTAGAGGAGGGGCGACGGGGCCATTCACATACAAAACTAATAACAGACGTAGAGGAGGGGCGACGGGGCCATTCACATACAAAACTAATAACAGACGTAGAGGAGGGGCGACGGGGCCATTCACATACAAAACTAATAACAGACGTAGAGGAGGGGCGACGGGGCCATTCACATACAAAACTAATAACAGACGTAGAGGAGGGGCGACGGGGCCATTCACATACAAAACTAATAACAGACGTAGAGGAGGGGCGACGGGGCCATTCACATACAAAACTAATAACAGACGTAGAGGAGGGGCGACGGGGCCATTCACATACAAAACTAATAACAGACGTAGAGGAGGGGCGACGGGGCCATTCACATACAAAACTAATAACAGACGTAGAGGAGGGGCGACGGGGCCATTCACATACAAAACTAATAACAGACGTAGAGGAGGGGCGACGGGGCCATTCACATACAAAACTAATAACAGACGTAGAGGAGGGGCGACGGGGCCATTCACATACAAAACTAATAACAGACGTAGAGGAGGGGCGACGGGGCCATTCACATACAAAACTAATAACAGACGTAGAGGAGGGGCGACGGGGCCATTCACATACAAAACTAATAACAGACGTAGAGGAGGGGCGACGGGGCCATTCACATACAAAACTAATAACAGACGTAGAGGAGGGGCGACGGGGCCATTCACATACAAAACTAACAACAGACGTAGAGGAGGGGCGACGGGGCCATTCACATACAAAACTAATAACAGACGTAGAGGAGGGGCGACGGGGCCATTCACATACAAAACTAATAACAGACGTAGAGGAGGGGCGACGGGGCCATTCACATACAAAACTAATAACAGACGTAGAGGAGGGGCGACGGGGCCATTCACATACAAAACTAATAACAGACGTAGAGGAGGGGCGACGGGGCCATTCACATACAAAACTAATAACAGACGTAGAGGAGGGGCGACGGGGCCATTCACATACAAAACTAATAACAGACGTAGAGGAGGGGCGACGGGGCCATTCACATACAAAACTAATAACAGACGTAGAGGAGGGGCGACGGGGCCATTCACATACAAAACTAATAACAGACGTAGAGGAGGGGCGACGGGGCCATTCACATACAAAACTAATAACAGACGTAGAGGAGGGGCGACGGGGCCATTCACATACAAAACTAATAACAGACGTAGAGGAGGGGCGACGGGGCCATTCACATACAAAACTAATAACAGACGTAGAGGAGGGGCGACGGGGCCATTCACATACAAAACTAACAACAGACGTAGAGGAGGGGCGACGGGGCCATTCACATACAAAACTAACAACAGACGTAGAGGAGGGGCGACGGGGCCATTCACATACAAAACTAACAACAGACGTAGAGGAGGGGCGACGGGGCCATTCACATACAAAACTAACAACAGACGTAGAGGAGGGGCGACGGGGCCATTCACATACAAAACTAACAACAGACGTAGAGGAGGGGCGACGGGGCCATTCACATACAAAACTAACAACAGACGTAGAGGAGGGGCGACGGGGCCATTCACATACAAAACTAACAACAGACGTAGAGGAGGGGCGACGGGGCCATTCACATACAAAACTAACAACAGACGTAGAGGAGGGGCGACGGGGCCATTCACATACAAAACTAACAACAGACGTAGAGGAGGGGCGACGGGGCCATTCACATACAAAACTAACAACAGACGTAGAGGAGGGGCGACGGGGCCATTCACATACAAAACTAACAACAGACGTAGAGGAGGGGCGACGGGGCCATTCACATACAAAACTAACAACAGACGTAGAGGAGGGGCGACGGGGCCATTCACATACAAAACTAATAACAGACGTAGAGGAGGGGCGACGGGGCGATTCACACACAAAACTAATAACAGACGTAGAGGAGGGGCGACGGGGCGGTTCACAGTAGGGTTTTCCCTTAAATTTCAAGATTTTATGTTTACTGACTACTGAAATGCCAACCATATGAGCTATCTAAGAAACAGTATAACGACTAATGTTCTTAAGTATTGCTTGCGCAGCAGCAATAACCTTCTTTGATGATGCAACAACTGGCCTTCCTGACAGTGTGTCCTGTGTGATGGTAACTTTACCATTCTTGAACTTGTTCAACCACTTGTAAATAGTTCTCAATGTGACGGCAGAGTTGCCTGTTATACTGCACATCTCATTAACCTTCGTTGACATGCAATATAAATGCAACTATTTGTTGTCAATTATCGAGATAGAAATTAAGATAAAGAATTAGGTGTATGTTGCAGGAAATAAAATTACATTCTCATTCTAACCTTGTGTTCGTCATTTTTCTGCAATAAATGACAGGTTTACGAACAAATATTTACTGATTGTCTCCTCTCCCTTTTTCTAATATTGACATACAACTTGTTTTACGAAAGTTCAGAATGGGAAAGATAGTTATCTCGCATTTGACAGATTAATGAGTTAAGTGTATCCCTGCCAGTTATATAAGCCCTATTTATTTTTCTGAACAGTGTGACAATGATATACATCCCAGAATAGGTGTAGTAGATGATTACAATAAACACACTGGCCTTGGCCTTTTATCTTCGTAGTTCTTCCTCCAGATAAAACGACTTTTCCGGTCCTTCCGTTAGTGACAGACTCGAAACAATCGAGTGTTGTACACAACTCTGGAGTATCGCCTCGTTACATCTGGGGTCACAGGATACACGAACAATGAATTAGGACTAATCTATTTCCTCTCCCTGACTTTTCTGTTAGCATGATCATTGTTATAATAAGTGCCTTTTGTTTGGTATGGTTTATTTGTGTGTGACGTTCTATTAACAGCTATGATTATTTAAGGACGTACCAGGGTTTGGTGGCGGAGGAAAATCGTAGTATCTTGATAATGAACACTTTATACTACTCTATTCCAGACTAATGATGCTACTCTCTATTCCAGACTTTATACTACTTTATTCCAGACTTTATACTACTCTATTCCAGACTTTATACTACTCTATTCCAGACTTTATACTACTCTATTCCAGACTAATGAACACTTTATACTACTCTATTCCAGACTAATGAAAACTTTATACTACTCTATTCAAGACTAATGAAAACTTTATACTACTCTATTCCAGACTTTATACTACTCTATTCCAGACTTTATACTACT